CAGAGGTGGGATGAGAGGACAGGTGGTCAGGAGTAGTCAGGCACCAGGCCCCCCCGTCAGATGACCAGGTATCCTGGCATCAGCCCTTGCCCTTGCTCTGACGTTGCTGGAACGTGGCTCGTGAGGGAGCCCAGGGCAGGCGGAATTGCTGTGTGGCACCTGGTCCTCTCCTGCCTGCCTCGGCGACCCATCCAGAGAGCACTGAGGCCCGTGTGGAGAAAGGGACAAGCTGGGCTGTGCGGCCAGCCTGTAGTTGAAGCCGGGACTGGCTCCACCAGGACCCAGAAGGCTGGCTCTTAGCCTCCCCGAGCCTCTCTCCATCCGTCTGTAAAATGGACAGCGGCACCCCCCACCAGTCCAGTGAAGATTCAGGGTGATGGGGTGTAAGGCCGCCCCTCCCCAGATGGCAGATAGAGTCCAGCGAGGTCTCATCCCCTGAGTTTGTTATAACAGGCATTGACTGTGTAGGGAGGATACAGCCTAGCTTGGCCACAACACGCATGCACCCCCACACATGCACACATACGCACGTGTGCGCTGGACGCGGGCAGACACCCCACCCTGCCTTCCTTGACTGCAGGAGGGCAGGAGGGGAAGCAGGAGGCACGTCACTTCCCTGTGTCAGCAGGGAAGAGAAACTTTGCTCTTTGTTTGTGGCAGCCCTGCCAGGAAAGTGCTGGAGGGGGGCTGTCGCCAGGAACCAGAGCTGTGAGGGATAAATAGAATTCCCGTGCTGGCGAGTGGCAGACCCTGGGCGCAGGCGTGGGAGCAACTGGAGCACAGTCCCTGAACAGAGCCCCCTCTCTCCTTGCGACCCCAGATTGGGAATAGGGGCGTCCTGCTGCCCCTTGTCCTCACTGGCCGGGCAGACCCGTGATCCAGGTCAATCAAAATGGGCGTCACTGTGCAGATGCTGGGATACCCAGGAGCCGGCCAGGCAGGAAGGCCTCTGGTCTCACGGCTGCTGGGGTGCTGACGCCACCACCCCTGCAGCCAGGCCCGGCCCCTCCCATTGGCTCCTGTGGACATGCAGGGCTGGGGGCCCAGGGTGGGGGTGGGCGGGCGGGCCAGCCCTACCATGGAGATTTGGTTTAAGGCCTGGATTCCTGGGACTGCAGGGGTGGCAGGGACATCCCGTTTGGGGACATCTCGGCAAGAGGGCCACCGTGAACCGCGCCTGAGCTTGCGAGGGTGTCCGGCAGAGATCCCTCCTCTCCCTGGCCTTTCTGGGGCGCTTGTGTGGGGGGCGGCAGGGAGCCCTTGTGGCAGCCCGGCTTCCTGAGGGCACCTCATAGATACTGAGCCAACCAAGGAGTGATAGAAGGTGCTGAGCACAGTGCTTGGCCCAGGCCCCCTGCAAGGGGGCCACACACACAGTCGCCACGTGCCACGGCATGGCGTTTGAAGGGATTTGGTTTCATCTGCGTAGCACAGGTGTCAAGTTTGGAGAAGGCGCTGGTCACTGCCCATGTTGTCGGGTCTCTGTCCCGGCTGCGGGAAAGTGGTCTCAGGATGCAGAGCCTCTCCCAGCCCCTTGAGTTTCACGACAGGCATGAGGATGGCCTCGCGGCACAGAGAGGTGTGTGCGGGGAGGCCGCCCTCCTGGCCTGGCCTTCGTTTGCACACGTCCTTTGGTGTCAATAAGGAAATGCATTCCCTTCCCTTTGGGAAGTAAACAGGTCTCCCTCTTCCCCCCCTCTGTGGGAGGACGTCTTGGGGTTTGCATCTCAGCTCCCTCCATCCCTCCAGTAAAGAGTCCCATGGAAAGACACCGTCGTTCCATCCCTTCTGAAAAAGTATCGTGGGGCGGGTAATGTGTAGCAGAGCCCCACAGCCTCCTCGCCGTGGCAACCATGCCTCTGTTGGCTTCCCGCTTCCCCTCCCAGGGCCTCCCTGTGCGTGGAGGGGCTGCGCAGGCCCCTGGTTAGGGGAGCACTCACTTGCAGTGGGTGTGGCAGGACCCCACTCCGGGCCTCTGATGGTGGGTTTGGGCCCATCATGGGCATAGCACGGCCCCCTGGGTCCAAATGCCTCTGCCTGAGCCCTGTGATGGCGATGGACTCAGGCTCTGAGGGGCCCCCTCCCATGGAGAAGTCCCCTGCAGAGAGGATCCCCCACCAGAGGGGCTAGGCCCTTTTTGGGCCACCAGGGTCCCTCCTGACAAGGTCGTCTTGGACCTGGCCAGTCTCTGGTGGTCACGGTTCTAGGAGATCGGTGACCTGGAGGTGGATTGGAGCCCGCTCTCTGGCCAGGGCAGCATCTGTGAGGAGCCGGGAGGAAGAATGGCTTTTGGCCAGGGAAGGAGGGCCTCCCTGGGACACCAGCCCCACAGCATTTATGCCTCTGCCACTGCCTCCAGGCAGGCGAGTCAGCAGCACCTGTGTGACCCGGCGGTGCCCCAGCCAGGTGTTCTGACCGACACCCCTGCACCCCTCCTGCCCTGCCCCTCGCTCCCACATTCCTCATGCATGAGCTCAGCAGCTGTGCTAAGGAAGTGAAACCTGGCGGCTGTCCCTGTGTGTCACTGGGCGGGCGTGGGTGGGCTGCCGAGGTGACCCCCTTTGTTGGCCTGGGTGGCTGCTGGCCTATTTCCTGCTGTCGTTGAGGATATTTGGGGCTCTAGGGAGGGAGCTGTGGAGCTTCCTCTCCTGCCCCCGGGGTGGGTGGGGGCTGCAGTCCTAGAGCTCTGCAGCCCAGGTCTGCCCTCACATACTCCCACCCCAGGGCCCTTTTCAGCCCTGTGCCCATCGCTGCAGTGAGAAATACATCTTACACTGAAACACTGTACACACGCGCGAGCACACACACATACGTGCGTGTGTATGTCTGGAACACCAGAAACGGGGATAGAAGCCACCCTTACTGGGTCTATACCCTGCTTTTGGTCCATTTCCTTTGAGCAGACACATGCGCCCTCCAGTGTTTTTCTGCCCTGACGCAGGTCTGGGTGGCGTTGAGCAGCGGGGCTGAGGGCTCAGCCAGCCTGTGCATGCACCCTTGGCAGCTTGGCAGACAGCCCCACACTGAATTCCCCTCCGCGCCATGCCTGGACGCCAGTCCCTCGTCTGCTGCCTGTTACGTGACATCCCTGCCCTGACTGCTGGGCACTCCTCGGGCTGGATGCATCCAGACTTGGGTTCCCCACTGCAGAGTCGTCCCCAGACCACTGAGCTTCATACTGCCCCCTGACCCCATCCCACATTGCAGTAGAGCCAGCTCTCTGATCCACCTTCACATCTTAGGTTTCTGAGCAGCTCTGAGGGGTCTCCCACGTCTGTGCGGTCTCAGCTACAACCTGGGCTCCCTGGAGCAGTCAGGGGTACGTTTCCTTTTGAAATGTAGTTGGATTGACCCTCGGCTTCCCGTCAGGGAAAGCGGGTGTCCCTGCCACGGGCTGTGAGGCAGTAGGTTTGGGCCATTAACTGCACACTTCTGCCTCTTCTTACCTCCCGCCACCCTTTACCCTGCTCCTGGCATCCTGTCCCTGACACCAGCAGGCCCTGGCCTCAGGGCCTTTGCATGCCCCTGCCTGCAGCCCTCCTCTCTCGACGACATGCTTCTTTCCCCTGCTGTCCCCTGAGCCGTGTCCTGCTATCTCGTTCCCCAGGTACGGGGTCCTGCCCAGTGTGTGAGGTGGGCCTGCCTTCTCTCTCGGGACTTTGTCCCATGGGGTCACTGCTGCGTCCCCCTGTGTGCCTCAGCCCTGGTGCAGCACATGGCAGGTGCCCTCCCCTTTGTCGTGTCCAGAAAGGAAGGTGCACCTGCCCTCTGGACTCAGGCATGTGTCAGGTGTATCTCCTTCCCAGGTTCCCTGCACGGCGTAGAGCAGGTGGGAGCCCAGCCCCGGGTGTCAGGAGGTGGTGGCTCAGGCTCGGGGTCTCATCGCCCTTTGGCACGGGTCTCTGTTCCTCTTTGTGCTGGCACTCCAGGCCGCTCTTCAGGGTGGGCGACAGAAGTAGTGGGTTTTTCTGGAGCCCAGATCCCGCAGCCCTTCTCGGAATCCATGTCGGTCCTGCTGGCTGAGAGCCCAGAGCAGGGATGGAAGGGTGTTACCTGGGGCCGGGGCTGCTTTTGGCCTGTTGGCCGGGATGGGGCGGGCACTGCCGCTGTTCATGCAGAAGCACCTGGGGCTCTGTGGTCTGCCCACAGGGCCAGGCGACTTCCCCTCCCTGGCGACGTTTCTCTCTTACCCTGCGGAAAGATCGGACACATATCACAATAATTGACCCGAAGATGTAGGATGTGGCCGAGGTGGGGTTTTCCTTAGAAGTTCCTTGCAGTGTTCTCGCTGGCTGGGGTTGGCACCCAACCATCAGGGTACATTACCCAGTAGAGCTCACATTTGGCTGTTGTTTGTGTGTGCCTGTTTTTGTGCCTTGTAATTAAAACATTTATTTGGCCTTCGCAGTGAAAATCTAATTTCTTCAGTCTAAGGACTAGTGGTATTGGCACCAAGACTTGAGTCCATCAGGCGAGTGGATCCAGAGCCTGCTGGATTATTTATCGTGTGGTGTTTGCAGTCAGGCTGTGCATTGCTCTAATCAGCTGACGTTTCGTAATTGATGTGTTGAGTGAAGATCGTGGTGGGAGGGGGCTCCAGGCAGTGATGAACCTTTTGTGTGTGGCCTGCGGAGGGACCTTCCTCGCTGACTCAGCCCTGCCAGATGGGGTAATGGCACCTCAGCGCAGCATATCTGAGCGCCGGATGTATGTTGGGTGCTGCCCCACGTGTCGTATGCATGCTCACTTGTTTAATCTGCAAGGCCCCTATGGAGCAGTTCTGTTCTTTCCCCCATTGTACAGGTGTCAAAACTGAGGCTTGGGAAGGTCATTTGCCCAAGGACATTCAACAGGGGCAGAGCTGGGATTTGGACCCGGGGCCCGGCCATGGCTTCGTGGTCTCGACCCCGCATGTGATGCTTGTGGGATTTTCCCCTCGCCGTTCAGGCCCCCAAGCAGCCGGTGCCTTGTCCCTGATGCCGTCCCCTGCTCTCTTCCAGACCATCATGGAGCAGTTCAACCCCAGCCTGCGGAACTTCATCGCCATGGGCAAGAACTACGAGAAGGCGCTGGCAGGTGAGGCTGACATCCCTGGCCTGTGGGTGCGAGTGAGGGCATCTCAGTAGGTGGACAGCTCCTGGGGCCTGATTAGGGAGGGACGGCGGTGTTTCCAGAAGCACACCGTGGCAGAGTGAAGGTGTAGGTGCTGCACCACGGAGGGCCATGATGTTTAGCGCACACTGTGGACATGGGGCCAAAAGTGGCAGGATGGTTCCCACCCTGGAGTTGGGGGGGTCGGCCTGCACATTTCAGGCCGATGGTGGTTCCTTTCCTGAAGGCATCACCCAAGGACATCTTACCCCCGGGGGTTTTCTCTCAGAGTGACATAACTTCATTCATTCTCAGCTGCACAGCGTCGATGGCCTAGGGTGAATCTGTCAAGGCCTGGCCTGGGGTCTCCTGCTCGCATGCCCCAGCCCTTGGACATGAGGCACAGGCCTCCTTCCAGGCTCCTCCACCCCCACCTGGGTCCCCAACCAAGTTCTGTGCGGGGGGGCCTGGAGGTGTCCTCCCTTCCCCATTTTCCTGGACTGTCCCATAGGCCAGAGCCCCTCAGCTGCCCTCGGCCGCCCCAAGGCCAGGCCTGGGCCCGCTAGGCTTTCCTTTCATCTCTTTCAAGGAGCCCACCCTGCCCGGCAGCGGACACGCTCCAGCTGCTGGGGTGCGGAGCCCGCACACACTTCCAGACTGCAGAGCAAATTGCGTGTGCTTAATTGAAAACTACCTAAATAAAATGTGATCAAGTGTCCAGTAATAAGTCCCTAACTGGGTTCTGGAGAAAACGGATTAGAAATAGTAATTATGCTGCTGGCGGGTGCTCCCCATGGTCCTGCTCCAGAGGCGCCCTCGTCCTCCTTCCAGCGTGAAGGGCAGCTGGGGGGGAGCTCTTCTGATGAGGGAGTTTGTGGGCACACCCAGGGTCTTGAAGGGTCTCCGAGTTCCCAGAGGAAGCTCCATCCCAGGCAGCGGGCACCAGTTATGGTCCCAGGAAGTCAGCAGGCCCGGCACTTTCCGTGCCAGTCCCTTGCAAAGTCAGGTTAGAGCAGAAGTTGCCCTGGGAAGTGGTGTGAGTCCCCCCGCTCCGTCCCCGTGGTGCTACCTTTAGCCCACTTTGAGCGTGTGACTCACTCCCACTTACTTGCTCTCTCTGAGACCGCAGACGGGGACAGAGTCCTCAACCCAGGTTGGCTGCGGTGGGGGGGGGGGGG